AAAAAAAAAAAAAAAAAAAAAAGAAAGTCAAGACAAGTAAATACATGTTGATGGATTAGTAAGTATCTGTCTTCTGATTAACTTATGTGGGTTACATGTAGCGTAGGCTCTGTTTTTATTGGTCTGTAAACTTCAGCTTCAAGGCAATTTTATTTTTTGCAAAAAAGTAGTGTTAAACTCTTAGCTTAGCCTTTGTAGTTTTTTAAGTTGGGAATTTATGAATGCCTTCAAAGCACCCTCACCTCAGAAAAATGTGCACATTCATACAAAATCTCGAATACGTTTTTAGGATCTTTGAGTTAAGAACCAAAGCATAGAGGGTTTCTTGATTGAAATCAAAGAAGGAGCAGGAATTTGCACTCACAAAGGAGCCTCAGGAGTATTCACATCAGATCAGCGTTCATTAGGGCCTTTGACCAAACCTTACTGTACTCTTATGAGTTCTTTGAAAAAAACACTTCTCAGCAATACAGTTATTACTTTTTAAAATGCCATAAAACATAAGTACATATGAAAAGCTTATGGTTCCAGGAAAAGGGAAATTTTTCAAAAGAAGAAAAGTTCACCTTTTGACTTGCAGTTTTCCAAAACGATCCTAGTCCCAGTCACCCGAGTGAAATAAATAATGCTAAATTATCTGTGCAGTTGTCCTTTTAATCATGTTTTCTTCTATTTATCTTTGCTCCCAAACCCTTGATATTTTTAAAAGCTAAGAGAAGCCTTTTTTTTTTTTTGGGCCAGGACTGGGTTTGAACCCACCACCACCAGCATATGGGGCCAGCACCCTACTCTTTGAGTCACAGGCACTGCCCAAGAAGCCTTTTTAATGACATAAAAGGGGAGCTAAGCTAGGGTGACCACACGTCCCACTTTTGGTGGGACAATCCCACTTTTTAACAATTTGTCCTGCATCCAGCGGCGTTTTAAAAAAGTCTCAATTTTTGGAAAGAATGCACAAATGGGTGGGAGAACAGGAAGGGAATATATGGTTTTGGCTGCCATGTGGCTATTTAGCCAAAATATGAGTTTTATATTATTTTTGTTAATTTTATAATGTTAAACTGTAATAACAACAAGTAATTGTTGAGAAGTGATTATCGAGAACTGCTTATCA